AGTCTCAGGGGAGAATGTAATCAACTGGCATGGCATTGATCACAAAGATAATGTTTTACATTCTAGTTTGGTGAGTAGAGTCTAGGGTCTTAAAAGCTGAGGAGTAACCATTTAAGTTACAACTATCAGTCTCTACTCATACTGAGAAAAAAGGAATGGAGGAGATCAATGTTTCAAAGTAAAGCCTAGCCCAGGGTGTAACAGCTCTCACAAACAACATCTTCTAACCTGAGACCAGAGAACTAGAAGATATTCAAATTGTGACCAAGGACAAAAATAGAAGGTCCCAGATAAAATAGGAGAAATATATAGAACAAAACTCAAATTACTATAAAGGGCCAGACCTACTGGACTGATAGACTACAGAAACTCCCAAGATAATCACCCTAAGATACACTTTGAACTGGGAAGTGAAGTCATTTTTACAGTCACCTCTCAAATAGTAGATTAGCTTTGTAAATAAACATATTACCCATAAGTAATGTGTTCCCTTAAGCAAATAGCTGTATGTGACCAAACGGTCAACAGTCACCCCAAAGCAAAGATGAGACGCAACAAGGGAAAGGGAAAGTAGATCAATGGAACAAACAGAATAGAAACCATGAGGGCACTGACGCACTGCAAAAAATTGCAACCTATGGCATTGAAAGTTTTATAAAATCTGCCAAGGGGCAATCAAATTTGCTGTGTAAACTTTCACCTAAAACACTTGAAAATATTATTTTAAAAAATAGAGAGAGAGAGAAATTTCCAAACAAATGCATTAGTTGGTAACTGGATGGAAGAAAAGATAAAAATCACAACATTCTGATCAACTATAATTTCTTTGGTTGTCACAACTTCCTATGAAAGACTACAGTTATTATTTGTTATCACATCAAATAGGTTCTGGAAGGAAAAAAATAAAATAAAAAATCGGTGAAATCTTTTACATAAGAACCCATTCATATATGTACCTTTTCTTCTAGTTGTTCCTTCAAACACTGGTATTTCAGCTTCAGCTTTTTGTTCTCCTCCTCATTTTGGGCTAACTCTTGTGTTAGCCTGTCACATTGTGATTTCAACCTCTCCAGCTGCCAGAGGTGCACTTTAGTGGTATTCTTATCTTCTAGGTTTTCTGCCTGAATAAAAGAGACGAAGACAAAGAAGAAAGTCCACTGGCCATAGCCAATTCTATAACAGATTGTATCAGTGGTTAAAACACAAAACAAAAACTTCACCATATTGCACTATCTCAACATTTGTGCTGCAGAATAAGCACTGAATGCTAACAGCAAGGTTGGTGGTTCAAAAACTGCTCCCCAATAACCCTATGCAGGGTCACTATGAGATGGAACCAACTTAGTGACACTTAACAACAACAACAAAAATATCCATGCATAAATGTTTAAATACACACAAAGGAAATGTTCTGTGCATTTATTCAACCATTCAACAGCATTTGTTGAACATTTACTAAATGACAGTTATGGTGAAAAGAAATCCTGGTGTCATGGTAGGTTAAGCGCTGTGCTGCTAAGTGAAAGATCAACAGTTCGAATTTACCACCAGCCCCATGGGAGAAAGATGAGGCAATTTGCTCCAGTCAAGATTTACAACCTTGCATATTCTATGGAACAGTTATACTCTGACATGCAGGGTTACCCTGAGTTAGAAGAAACTCAACATTAGTCAGTAGGTAGGGTTCTAGGTGCTGAAAATGCAATCAATAATTTCTACAGTAAATGTCACTATGACTCAGAATTGACTCAACGGCACACAACAACAACAAAAACAGTAGATGTAAAGTGTTTAGCAAAGGTGTAAGATGGGTATTTTGACAAACCAAAGAAGGGACACCAATTTGGTCTAAAGTTATTAGCGAATTGCCCCCAACAGAATAACTATGAGATTACAATGCTGGCTGATCAATTTCCTTATCTACCAAGGAATTGAACATTCCTGTTTTTCTCCAGGTTTTTATTAAAGAATAGTGTACTTTTTGGTTAACAAAATTAATTACACCATCGTTGTACGTCTAAAAGATTATAAATTGTAGCGGCCAAGAAATTGCAAATAACATTATATGAAAAAGAGCTTAACTATGATTATTTCTGTATCAGGAGTGTAATAAAATATCTGCTCTTTTTATTTGTATTTGTAATATAACTAGACCAGCATAAAACAAAAGAAACATTAGGAATAATCTATTTTGTACATGGGATTCAAGAAAGATTTCTCAGTTATGTAAAATTATAGAATTTCAACATATTATTAATACTCTAAAAGATTCGCTACATGTCAGTCACTGTTTTTCGGCCTTTTAAAAACAGTTTTCCCTAATTTCATCCTCATAACAACCTAACAAGGTAGATACGATTATTGCCTCTTCTTTTGAAACTGAAGTTAGAAGTTAAAAATGCATCCAATGGTATTTAGTGGGTGAATACAGAGACACATTTTGAACCTAGAAAAATCAGCATAAGGGTTCATGTTTTCAAATACTCAACACACTGTTTCTCAGAAAGTACAACATAAGGTTTTAAAAACTTGTGGGGTGCAATGTTAAGTGTAATTCTGTACACAGTCTGTTTAAAATACAAGTTTAAATGCCTAAAATACACCTGTATATTTATTTTATTTTATAAATTGATTAATGTTTAATCAGGTTAAGTATGAACATAATTATCGGAAGCAATCTCCTGAAAGTAGGAAGTTTTTATCAGTTTTAGAAAAACAAAATCTATATTGTATTTACCTCACAAAAGGCACCAAAGACTTTATGTCACTTTGAATTAACAAAGGAATTTTTTTATGCACAATCCTGTATTTACAACCCCAAAATAAATTCATAACATAAAGTCTCTCATCAGGAAACTTGATCAATTATAATTTTAAGTTTCAGCAGAATGCTTTTACTTGTCTTTCTGTCCTATAAAAAATATAGGTGTATAAGTTTCCTCCTAATGCCAGTTGTGGGCTAAAGCTGACTCAAGACATTGGCAAGACACAATTGTGTTCATCTCTTCTCAACTCCACCCCAGGTCAAGGATGTCTCTTAGACAGTCTGCAATCAGCCAAAATGTGATTATTTTCACAAGTGAAAGTGGTAAATGCTATCAAGCATGGTTTATCCCCAGAGAAGAATTAGAGTAAGTTAAAAAGTATTGCTACCAGGGTTCCTGTCTATACATGAACAAGTCTATTCCAAACAAAGTGTTTTAATACATGTCTGTGATCAGCAAATGGCTGCAGACAAATTCTTTCACACCAACACACTTGGGTTAGTCTCATTATGTTGTCTTCAAAATAAAAGGAAATTTTTTGTGTCATGGGAAAAAAGAAACCTACCAATCATGAAGTCAGGTATAATATAAAATTTTTAACAAAACTCAAGTGGACATCTTTTCAAATAATTGAAGCTTTCAAGCAACTTTATGGAACTGTTGTCCCACAATAAGACAACATTTTTTAAAAGAAGGTCAGAAAGACCTCAAAGATAAGTCAAGAGACGGAAAACTACCAACTTCCATGAATGAACAAGTTGTGACAGAAGTTTATGGACTGGAAGAAGCCCATAGAATTACCATCAATGCAACCACTACTGAAGTTGGGATCTCAAGTAGCATTGTAACATTTTCAATTTTAAGTGAACGTCTAGTCTTACCAAGCTTTTGGCTCACTGAGTGCAAAAAACATGGCAAAAAGATCAGCTAGCTTAAAGAACCGATCTTTCCATCAGCCTTTTAAGCAAGACAGACACTGATTCGTATAGCTATATGAAATGAACCATAATGGGAAACGAGCTTTGGGTTTAGTAACATGAGTAGTCCTGGAATAATGCATAGACTGCAAAGTCAGTTTGAACCACAAGCTCAGCAGTTTAAACTTACCAGCCATTCCTTGGAATCCCTATACAGGGTGGCTACGAGTCAAACTGACTGGACACTTAACAACAACAATATGTTTTGGAGAGTGAGGCACAATCAAAACACTGGCTTCTAAAGAGATCTGCTTGGCTAGTTTAATTCATGACTGAGAGGACAGGTGAGAAGGTAATTGTTGTTTGACTGAGAGTACAGGTCAGTGGGTTATGGAGACTGGTTTGGGGGATCCCAAAGGAGTAATCTTAGCATGACAACTACAGGGTTTTGTTATGAAATTTTTAAGAATATGGAAAACTGCATTGGCGAGGAAAAGGTCTGAAAAGTAGTGCTGAAGAATTTTTTTGGTTTGTTTTTAGCAAGACAATGCATATAAAAGGAATCCTAGTGGGAGATATGCTTCAGGGGTAGCAAGAGATGTCCTAGGAGACTTTTGGTAGGAAACCTTAACCCATCTTTTTTTCCCCCAAACTCAAAGAGCATTGAAAAGAAACCTGACTTGAATCCCTGGACAATTCCACAACTGACAATGTGAAGTGTGTAACTTGAAACTACAGAAGTCTTTAGGGATGGTTTAGTGAGATGGAAACAGTACTTTCTGTAGTACATAGATACAGTTACAGCACATGTTGAGAAATAGCAGCATCTTATTTTGCTGTTTTTGTTTAAAATAGGTTTCTATGATTTTTGTAATAATACTTTTTGACTTGCCTTCTTTTTTTACCAGGATTTGTATGCATGGAGTAAGAACTTATATACTGCTTTGGTTTTCATTATTACTTTTACATATTCATTTAAGATCTAAAAAGCAATGCCATTCTCACCACCTTGTGATAGAGAAAAACATTACCACTCCCATTTTATTGAGGAGGTGTGGAAAAGGGTTGTTATCTAAGATCACATGGCCAGCAGGTGACAAAAGCACTGAACCCCATTACCGGGTCTTTGGATTCCAAAGAAAAGACACTATACAAAATTATCTTGTTGAAAATATGAAAAGGTGATTGTTGTTGTTAAGTGCCATGGTTCCGACTTAAAGTGACCCTCTACAGAGTTTCCAAGGAGCGGCTGGTGGATTTGAACCACCAACCATACAGTCATCAATCCAGTACTTACCCTACATTGCCACACGAAGACTCCAAGAAAGGTGAAAAAAATACCCAAATATTCTGTGAATATTAATAGCATCTAGAGTACCTCATAAAAATATTTTAAACTTAGTTTAAAAAATAAGTATACAAAAGGTACTTCTAGATGATATAAAAATATAGCTGATCTGTCCAAAGAAATAAATATGGGCAACATATCAGAACTTAATAGGCTTAGTCCAAAACTCTATTGTACACAATTAAGTATTCTAATCTGATGACTATTGTTGTCAAATCCTTTTAATAATATAACTAAAGAGTAGAGAATACCCTGAGGTGGGAGTAGTTCCTACAGGCAAATCATTTAGTTTAAGCTAATGTTTACAAGGAAACGAATGGAGTCTCACAATCTCTGGTTCACATTTTAGCTCTTGTGCTGGTTGTGTGTCACTTCAGAAAGCAGTTGCAACACCCCTGGTAGAGCTCAGCCTTACACATTTAAAAAACAATCTAAATCCAACTCCAGTTTTCATAAAAGAGAAAAATTAAATGGACATTTCAGAAGATCCATAGGACATGTATAAATCATAATTCCTTATAGATAATTTATTGATGATTTATTATCTCAGTATAAATGAATTCATAGGACTTCTTTAAAAATGAATGAGGACAATAAATTTTCCCATATTATATGGAAAAATCCAAATCAGGGAAATCACAGAAAAATTCAGAAGCAAATTATGTCTTTACATATTTTTTTAAACAGCGATTTCTGCTTTTTAAACATTTTAACCTAACAACCTTCTACGTGAGCCTTAGAATGAAGCTGGAGGATAAGCACCAGACTGCTAACCACAGTGTCAGCAGTTCAAACCCACTAGCTCAGAAACCCTGTACAAGGTCACTATGACTCTGAACTGACTCAATGGCACTTAACAACAACAATCTAGACCCTATAAAAGGATTAGAGTGTGGCACCAGACTGTAAAACCGTTTGAACTGCAAGGTAGGCAGTTCAAGTTCACCAGCTGCTCCTTGGAAACGCTGTACTGGGTCGCTATGGGTCGGAATTGACTTGACGGCACTTCACAACAACAACAAGACCTGATGCTGGGGGAGTGTGGTGGCTCTGCAGGGTAACTACTGGACTGAGAACCACAAGGTCAGTGGTTCGAGGTCACCACCTGCTCCATGGGAGAAAGATGAGGCTTTCATCTACCGCAAAGGTTTACAGCCTTAGAAATCCTATACAGGGTCACCATGAGTGGCACCGACTCAAATGGCACTTAATAACAACAAGACTCGGTGCCCATCATTTGGGAGACTTTTGAACAGGTACCAAACCACCAAACCAACTACAGAAAACACACTTAATTTCTGTTAATCCAGTTCCAACTCATGGCAGTCCATGTGTATCAGAGTAGGACTATACTTCCTTAGGGTTTTCAATGATTTCTATTTTGCAAGTATATTGCGAAGGTCTCTTTTTCAAGGTGACTCGGGGTGGACTTCAATCTCTAAACTTTTGGTTAGCAGTGAAACACATCACCATTTGTACCTCCCAGGGGCTTCTAACCACAATACGAGGCAATCTAAATCTGGAAATACTAACAAAAATCAATAAAAAAAGAAGAGGATGGAAAGATTTAGGACAATCGTCTTTGCGATTTATTCCAACTTCAGATTTTATATATGATAAAAATCAATAGGGCCTTGAAGGATTAGGCAGAAAGCGTCTTCCTATAGACTGTAGGAAAGGACAAGACAGATAAAAAAAACAAGTGGAAAAATACTGGGGAGTGGCTGCATGAGAAACATTAGGGAACATAAAAGGCAATAAATACGACGGCCACAAAAAGGGGTGGGAAAGAGTGGACAGTTCATTACAGAGGCAGAAAATAATCAAAGGCTTTTGAGCACGAAGTGGTACATTCAATTTGAGAAAGGAATATATGAATTTATGTGAAGGTTAAAAGGGAGAAGTTTGAGGTAGACCGAATTACAAGGAGAAGATACTTAGAGGCTGTTTTAGTTGACCAAATGAGAAGCCTTTATCCTGTTTTCTACTATGGTGTCTAATGTATTTGTTTATATGCTAATCAATCCATGAGAAAATACAAGCAGGTTGCACCTCCATATCTTCATCCTCCACTCAAGAAAGTGTACCAGATTGTGAGTAAGATATCCTCTGAGAGTTAATCTCGAATCTGCTCGAATTAAGTTATTATAAAATCCTGATGATATATATGCTATCACACAAAATAATGATGATAATAGCCTGAAATAAGTCAGTAGTCCTAAGAAAAAGAAAAAGAAAAAAAAGGAAGGTGTTGTTTCCAACACACTTTCAAGAAAACTGTAGCCTCCTTCTGAAGAACCATGTCTTATGGCCATGAACAATACCACTTCTAAACCATTACCTGTCTGTCTTCAAGCAAAACCCTGGCCTTGAGTTAAGATTCAGCTTTTGTCATTCATTCCCCTCATTCTTGCTGGCAACAACTGGCTGATCAGTTATCCTTTGCATTGAGGAGTTAGTTTGGCATGCGGCCAATTAATGCCTTAGGAGAAATATTAGAATTCGCCAATGTTTACTCAACAAGCTAATCTCAAAGTTTTGGGGCATGCTCTTTTCTAACTACTTTCAGCCACATTTCACGATAGTAACCACTTTGTGAGCACAACTTGGACCATAATTCTGAATATTTTAGCTCTCGTATAACAATTTCTGACCTGTGATATTTCAGTGGTAAAGTTTTTCACCTTCCAACCAGGAGAACTAGGTTTAATTCCCAGTCAATGCACCTCAATACAGCTATCACTTGTCTGTCAGTGGAGATGTGTGTGTTGTTGTGATGCTGAACAGTTTTTGGCAGAGCTTCCAGACTAAGATTAGGAACTCTTGACAATAAAAACCCCTATGGATCACAGTAGTCCAATCCCATTATGCACGGTTGGGGCACTGAGTCAGCAACAGCAGTTAACAGCAACCTCTAGCCATCGATTCTTATCCCTCAAGTTTCTCATTCTTTTATTCCCCTAACACATGTCCTTCAGTGTCGCAAACTACAACCTGATTCAGCTGAAAACCAATCTTCCCAGCAGTTTGCATCTGTACGACTCCTAGGTGCTTACTGTACTGCTGTCCTGCTCTATGTCAGAGAGATGAAGAAGACTATTAATCAAAATTGACATCAGCTTCCCCAGATTCTACTTATGGATTTCAAAAATATGCTGAATGTTATACACTTTTGATCCAAACCCCTCACAGCCTTCATGAACTTTCTCAATGAACCTTTCCTGATGGAATGGACTTCCTGAATTCTCTTAGCTTGTCTATAACATTCTACACTCTTACCTGCTTCTCGAAGGAACTTATTTGGGTTTCCAAGATACCATTCTATTCTGCTTCTCCTCCCACCTCTAGCATGGTTCCACATTCTTATTTGCTGGAATGTCTTTCTCAATCCTCCTGTTAAACACGTTAGTGCCATGGGATTTTGTCTTCTTCTTTTTCCTTCCTAGATGATCTCATCTAAATTCCATGATTCCAACTATCAACTAGAGCTTCCAACTCATAGAGACCCTGTGGAGGATTTCTGAGGAGTAGCTGGTGAGTCTACCTATCTTGCAATTCAAATGACCTTGTGGTCCAGAGCTTATCCTACTGTACCACACCAGGACTATAGTTTCTAAATATTTAACTCTAATCTCAACTTCTCCCTATATACCTGACCCATTATATACTGAATTGTTCTATCTAGAGATTTCATAGTTAATCTTACTGTCATTCCCACATAAACAACATGCTAAATCTCTGAATTTGGCATTGTTCTCTACAAATCTGCTCTCCGACTTATAGTCTCTATTTTGGCTCATTATCCACATAGTGACTACATAACCAATCATTAGCTACTCATCCTTGATTCTAAAGTGTTTCCAGCATTTAAAAAAAAAAAAAATTAAGAACATAGATAGGCAACTACCTGCATTCAAATCCTATCTCTACTACTCCCCAGCTAGAACACTTTGGGAAAGTTATTTAATCTCCTTTGTCTTGGTTTCCTCATCAGGGAGAAAAAAATATACTATATAATCAGTGTGAATTATATGAATATTAAATGAGCAATACATGTAAAGCTCTTAGACCAGTGACCAACACAAGGGACTGAAAAAAAAATGTTTCCTAAGATTATTATGGACTGCTGGTATTGCATTATAGTATATATAATATATAGCACTGGGCTGCAAACTACGTTGGCAGTTCAAACCCATCAGCTGCTCCGCGGAAACCCTATACAAGGTTGCTATGGAGTTGGAGCTGACTAGATGGCACTTAATAACAACAAGGATTATTATACAGAGGCCTGGTTTCATGGTGGGCTATTCATTTTGCTGACAACTGCAAAGTCAGCAGTTCAAATTCACCAGCCAGCCAAGGGAGGAAGACGAGGTATACTGTCCGGGTGAAAATCAGGGTCACAATTTGTCAGAACCGATTCAATGGCGTGCAACAGCAACATCAGCAGGATGTTTATTATTGTCACTTCAATAGGATGTATTTTATTTTATATAAGAACAACTCCTCCATATCCCTGATTTTATTTTTATGTTTATGTTCTCCTCACCTCTAAAGAACTATATTACATTGCATTTTTTCACCATGGTGATGCATGTTTTCCATAGTTTATCATCCCTGACTTGTGATGTTGTTGTGCCTTACAATTAATATGGCATAAAACGTGTCACGGGACTTCTTTTTTCTCTTAGTAGTACACTGATGTGCGTTTTAGGTTAAGTGAAATATGCTAAAGGTCTCTTACCGAGTCTCTGGATTCCACACTGCTCTATCTTACCCACCTCAATTAATGATCCCAAATCCACTACCTACAGAAGGCTATATGGAACTGAGGAAGAATTCATGAAATAGTTGAAAGCGCTCTACAAATGTCAGCTATTTCAGTATAAAAAATGTTCAGCTGCTATCATAAACATTGTTTTAAGGTAGTTGTTGCTTTTCAAGAATTTTTCATTACAACAATCAAAATCAACATTTGAAGATCTAATTCTTTCACTAGTCTATTCAACAGATGGTAACAGTGTTCCAGAAACTATTCTAGGCACTTGGGATGCACCCGCACATAAAACAGATTCAAATACCAGTCCTCAAGGAGCTTTCATTTTAAAGAAAGGAAGACATGAAAAATAAAGTAATTAATATGGAATTGATATCACGTGATGAAAAGAACTATGAAGAAAAAAATTAAGCAGAAAAGTGAGATAGATTTATCACGCTCATAAGATACATGTTATGAAATGATTCCTCTGCATGGTAATAATGCCAATACCAACGTGTAGGGGTTACGAGTTGGGCTGCTAATCTCAAGGTCAACAGTTCGAAACTACCAGCCATTCCATGGGAGAAAGATGAGGCTTTCTGCTCCCGTAAAGATTTACAGCCTCGGAAACCCAGTGCACGGTTGCTATGGGTTGAAACGGACTCCAAAGCACATAACCACCACCACCGCCACCATTAGACCTAAGAAACACTTTCCCATATGCAAGATCTCAGGCATTTACTCAGGCAGCTTTGATTGGACAAGAAGGATTAAATCTCAAAAGCCTTGGGTTTACACAGTCCAGAGGCTGATCCACTTTAGTTACCATATGAATAAGGACTGTGGCTATAGTTTCTATGGCCTTGATAAGTCTTTGCCGTTTATATTTTTAGGAGATCATAAATATTGAATGAGGGCAGGTTTCAGGTCCACAACTTACTGCCACCTCTGCCTTGCCTGAACTCCCAAAATAGCTAAATGTTCATTTTAAATGGCTTCGATGCTCTGAAATAGGTGCTCCCAGGTGGCAGCTATAACTCATTTCAACCTGGCCGAACAGATATGAATAAGCCTCTTTTATTGTTAGTTTTATCTTCCCTCCAGTGCTTGGGAATACAGAATGATCTCTAAAAGTTTATGCTTTATTAACTTCATGAGCCACCGGAAAAATTCCTTCAGTATCATCAGGATAATTCAACATTGGTACCTTCAGCGTTCTAATATGATTCTCAGCCTCACTCTTTTCTTTCTTAAAGTGCTTCATCAGCTCCTGGATATTTTGCTCATGTTTCGTTTTCACACTCTGCAGTGACGATGAAAGGTCTTCCAGCTCCCTCTGGTGAACATCTCGCTCTAGCTTTAACTGCTTGATGATTGTAGCTGTTTCGTCCTCCCTGAATTTCTCCCGTGTCTTGAGGTCCGAAAGTTCCTTAAGCACCTCTTTCTTGGCTCTCTCTTCCTCGGCCAATTTATTAGCGAGATCCGCTCGGATGGCACTCAAGTCCTTGACAGACTCTTGCATCTCCAGAAGTTTAGCTTTATCCTCAGCCTGGCTCTTCTTTAGCTCTGCATTTTCTTCCTCCAGGTGAGTTTTCTCTGCTTTCATCTGGCTTTGAATCTTACTCTGCTTTTTCAATTCACTTTCGAGCCTATGTATGGTGTTCAGGGAATCCTTGATTTCTTGTTCAAGGTCGGCTTGGTGAGACTTAATGTCAGTTAGTTTCTTCTCCTTGCAGTGAAGCTCCTCCTCCTGAATGGCCCGTTTGGTTAACACATCGTTCAGTTCCTTGCGAAGATTTTCTATTTGTTGTAATGCTGCATACACCTGGCTTTTCAGTTCATCCCTTTCTTTCAGGATCTATCAGGGTAAGAACAAAAAGGAAAAAAAAAAAAAAACTACTGTCAAATATACCATGGACTCTGCTAGGTAAGAAAAAAATACTTAAATTATAATAATAAAATTTTATCAACAGGTATTTCATAGCCTTTACATTTTTTAAATGAGTAATATTTCTTAGATTTCAAAATGAGGAAAATCATACAATTACTCTGAGGCTAGGAGGCCCACGGACACACACTGAAATATATATTTTGCATTTTTCATTACCAAAATGTATTTTATATCATCCCAGGATCTTTGATATTTATTTAAATATAAAACTGAGCTATAGAATAGACCCCCACCAAAAAACAACAACAACACAAAAGACTCCTATTAAATAGTAATTTACCAGAAGCTGAAATAATACAGTATTATTTTAAATAAAGGCAATTTGCACACTAATCAAAGAATCCTGGTATGGCACTATAGGGTCAACATTGGACTATGAACCATAAGATTGGTGGTCCAAACCCACCAAGTGCTCCTTGGAAACCGTACATGGGGTAGTTATGAGTCAGAACCTCTGTGAGTCTCATGGCACTTAATAACAACATACTAATGACATACTTTTGACAAAAGAGAAACCTCAAAAGAAAAATGAAAATAGTATAGAGAAGCCTGTAAATTTAACTCAAGAAAAGGAAGGGTACAATCAGTGATTATTAATAAAACAATGTCAGTAGTGGTAAGATTCATATCAACATGCAACTGGGAGTTTTGAAGTTCTTAGGACAGTAAAAATGAGAGATTAAAATTAGATGAGGTTGAGAAAGAGTTCAAGGAAAAATTCAAGGAAGTAGATCTCCATTAAACTCTGCCCACCTCTGTGGGGTTAGGTTTTATACTGAGGTACAGAAGCCAAGAATTAACCCCTCTAATCCTCACCAATCAATCAATGCAAATGAAGCCAGACAGCTAAAGGAGAAAAGACAGCTTTCTCAACATTATAGGTATCAAGCTCATTCTTACTGAAGCCCATCAAGGCTTGGACCAGGGAAAGATGGGGATCAGAGGTAGGGAAGATTAGATTCTCAAATTAGAATCAAAAATCATAAATGAAAATGCAAATAATGGTGAGCTTTACAATTCAATATTCACGTCAGTGTAAAATAATTTGTAAGAAAGGCAGAGTCAGTCTCTCAAAATGAATGTATGAGAGTTTATGCAAATCATTTTCTGTTCTGATAGAGTAAAAGAACATGAAGGTGCCACAAGAAATAATAAAATGATGTGATTTAACAGTTGGCTCTAATGATAAAAAGAACATAATTTGATTCTCAATCCACATATTTCTATGGCCTTATTGAAATTGTTCTTGCTGTGCCTCACTTTCTACAACTGTAAAATAAAGACAATAATATTGTCTATTTCACAGGGTTATGATAAAAATTATTGGGAAAGGAGAATCAGAAAGTAGGAATGAGATTTTTAAGTTCAAGGTGGCACTAGGTCTCAGGGAGGTATTACAGAAAGGCAGTGATTGAAACTATGAAAAGAAATGGAAGTCCCTGGAGTGAAAAGACTCCAGAACATAGATGAAAGAGTTAACTGTGGAAAAATAATGCTGTTTTTATACTTAAAAGAGGAAGAAAGTCAGGAAAACTTACTAGAAATATAGATAAGCCTCAGGGTAGATGTATTCTTTTTCTATTGCTGGGTATTACCACAAACTTAGTGGCTTACAACAATGTCCATTTACTAGTTCAGTGTCAAAAGTACAGGCTACACACTCTGCTTTGTTGTTTGTTACGTGCCATCAAGTCAGTTCAGGCTCATAGCAACCCTATATAGGGTGTCTGATGAGCAGTTGGTGGGTTTGAACCGCCGACCCTGTGGTTCAAACTGACCTTGTGGTCCAGTGTTTTATCCCACAGCACCACACCAGGGATCTTTTAAGACTCACTGAAGGTGGTGGCTAGTCTGAGCTCTTACTTAAGGCTCCTGGAAAGAATCCACTTCCAAGCTCATTCAGGTTTGGCTGAGTTCAGTTGCCTACACTTCTAGAGCTGCCGTCCCCAGTTTCATGCTGGCTGTTGGCCAGGAGTGGATCTCAACTTCTAGAGGCTACACGTGTCCCCTGGACTCTTCCACCTTTAAAGTCAGCAAGAACATACTCACTGAGTCTCTCTGCCTTTCCCTTCCCCTACTGGCTGTTGGCTGTAAGCCATGGAGTCAGTTCCGACTCATAGCAACCCTGTACAGAGTTTCCAAGGAGCGGAATGCCTCATCTTTCTCCCGAACAACAACTGGTAGTTTTGAACTGCTGACCTTGTGGTTCGCAGTCCGAATCATAACCACTATGCTACCAGAGCTCCTTCCCCTTACTAGCCAGGACAAAACTCTCTATTTGTAGGAGCTTATGGCACTTAACAACAACAACAACATGTAATTAGATTAGATCTACCAGGATACTCTCTCTATCTGTGCCATGTAACAATACAATTGTAGGAATAATATCTCATCATGTGCACAGGTTACAGGCATTAGGGCTGCCTGCCACAAGAGAGCAGAAAACTTACAGAACTCAAATTTTATAGATTCTCAGTTATAAAAATAATGTGGGAGGGGCTTTAAACTGCAACGAGGTAACGTAAATATAGTGATTAATGTCTGATACAGATAACATGAGTTAAGAAACTGTCAAGCAACCCTGAAGATAAAAACAAATCTTATTTTCATGACAAAGCTCTAACAAGCAAATGCCTGTAACCACAAAAAGATTATAATGTCTTCTAGAAACTGGCTTATAATAAATAGCAAGGTTATCTCTTTTTCTCACATAACATAATGTCTAAAGATGGGATGGTTCAAGAAGATTCCTTGAAACTTAGGCTCTTGCTATTCTGCAATTCTCTAGCTTTGTCCTCTTCTCAAGGTCCCAGGTATCATATCAAAAGTAAAACCTGTGGGTGGCCAGTCGCCAACTACAATGTTCAAGTTTGGAATTTCTTTGGCAATAGAGTTTCTGAAAACTAAATAACATCTATTTGCTTCAGATTAGTTGTCTGGCTAGGAGCCACAGCCCAAGATTTGATCTCAACATTGCCTCTGAATCTGACAATGTCAGTATCTAATCACCACCTGGTGTGGGGCTGTAGGATAAGCACTGGACTGCTAACCACAAGGTTGGTGGTTCAAACCTATCAGCCACTCCTTAGAAACTCTATACAGGATCACTATGAGTGGGAAATGACTCAGTGGCATTTGACAACAACAACCACCATCACCACAACTCAGCAACCTAGACACTCACAGGGGCAATCACACAGTGGTTGAATGCTTGGCTGATAACTAAAAGGTAGGCAGTTCAAATCCACCAGCAGCTCCAAGGGAAAAAGATGTGGCCGTCTGCTTCCATAAAGGTCACAACCTTGGAAACCCTATGGGACAGTTCCATTGTCCTCTAGGGTCACTATGAGTCCAAAGCGACTCAATTGCAGTGGGATGTCTCTGTTTTTGTTTTCCCCGATAAATAGCTGCTATCTTGTGGCGGCGGCAGTTCCGTGCTGCGGAGTCAGTTCTGACTCATAGAGACCCTGCACAGGGTTTCCGAGGCTGTAAACTTTATGGGAGCAGAAAGCCTCATCTTTCGCCCATGGAATAGCTGGTAGTTTTGAACTGCTGACCATGAGGTTAGCAGCCAGATTTGTAATCACTACGCTACCAGAGCTCCTTAGCTTCTATCTTAAGGTAATTTAAAACAGTAGATCTAAGTTACTTTTACCTGACAAAGAGGGCTTAACTAGAATGACTTGAAAGGGGACTAAAAAAGCTTTCTTCCAGTGAACCTCATTGACTCTAGCTCCACTTCTCTGTAACTGTCCCAGCAATCCCTCCTCGGTGTGAGACTTCATGCTCAAGAAGGTAGCAAGACCACTTCAGTCATTCGAGGCTTATCAGCCATCAACATCCAGAGGAAAGAGAAAAGCTCTCATATCATTTTTAAAGTAAGCCAAACGTTTATCAGAAGCTCCCCAACAGACGTCATACTTCATTCCTCATTGATCAGGACTGGGCCGTATACCTAGGAACGACTGGTTTATATGAGTTATTAAACCAAGACCTCTATAGGAGTTAGTTCATATGTGTATAGAAGGTCTGTGAGTGCCATTCAGCAGCTGGTGTGTTTGTTGTTAGCTGCCATTGTTAGGCTCCTACTCATATGCACAACAGAAGGAAACACTGCCTAGCCCTGTGCCATCCTCAAGTCTTGTTATATTTATGTCCGTTAGTACAGTTACTGTTTCAATCTCTCTCGTTTGGGGTTTTCTTCTTTTTTGCTAACGCTCAACTTTCCCAATCATGATGTCCTTTTCCAGGGACTGGTCCCTCCTGACCAAAGCATGTAAGACATCCAAAGTCCGCCATCCTCACTTCTAAGGAGCATCTTGACTGTAGTTACTCCATGGCAGAGTTCCTTGTTCTTCTGGAATACTGAGTGATGTTACTTTCAATATTCTTCACCAACATTATAATTCAAATGCAATGATTGTTCTACAGTCTTCCTTATTCACTGACAGGCTTTCACACTGAAAATACTATGACTTGGGTCAGGTACACCTTAGTTAAAAAGCAAAGTGGCATCTTTGCTTTTTAGCATTTTAAAGAAGTCTTTTGCAGCAGATATGTCCAATGCAATATATATTTTGATTCTTGACCGCTACTTCCATGAGCATTGATTGTGGATCAAATTTAAATGAAATCCTTGATAAATTCAATCATGTCTCCATTTGTGATAATGTTGTTTATTGGTCATTTTGTGACAATTTTTATTTTCTTTACATTGAGTTGTAATCCATACTGAAAGTTGTAGTCTTTGATAGTCATCAATGTTTCAAGCGATTCTGGCTTTCACTAAGCAAGGCTGTACCATCAGCATATCTCAGGTTGTTAATGAACCTTCCTCCAATTCTGATGCCATGGTTTTTGTTTTTTGTTTTCACATACTCCAGCTCCTCAGATTAATTGCTCATCAT